GGCAGGCAGTTGATGGAGAATTATCGGGCGCTCGTAGATGAGCTAGCGCAGGAAGATTTGGACTTGCTGGCACATGCCAGATCGTGCTCGGTCAGTTCTATTGCTACACCACCAAATCAGACCCAGTATAACACGACGAATGACAACGCCAGACAGTTCGCGGAGAATGTGAGGCACAATAACGAAACGACAGTCGCCACGACGAGGCAATACGATGGCCAGAGACAGAGTTACAATCCGGAACAACGGCAGAGTTACAACAATGACGGCAGGCTGAGTAGAGCGAGCAGCTCCAGCTCCAGCGGATGTTTATCTGATGGGGCACCGAGTAGTTGTGAGGTGAATATGATTTAATGCTATTTATCGCCGTATTAACGATAAGTCTATTATAAAAAAAAATTATTACATACTATTATTGCTGTTGCATCGCAATTATCAAATACAATTATTTAATTTTTGCATATTAATCGTTCGGCAGGTGGCTTTTGAATGCGGTGAGTTTCCAACTGGCACGATAAAACGGAAACCATCTATGAATCCGAAGTTACCTCTCACATCGATTACGAGGCAATTGAAGGAAGTCGGCGAAACCGTTCGAGACGAACCGGACTCTTGTCCGAGTCCAACGAGCTCGGGATCTAGTACGCTAACTAGAAGGCACAGTCGTCGACGAAGTGGTACTGACTCCGACGGGTCCGGAACATTGAAGAGACATCATAGATCCGGAAACGCGACACCCGTCAGCCCGGTACCACCCGGCACGCCGGTGAGGGAGAGGGCGAGTCCTATGGGATACAGCAGATCGGAGAGTCAAGATTCGAAGACGCCGACGAGTCCGATACAAGCGTGCATGGTAATTTATATTATTAAGAAATTTAATATGTACGGATTTAAAGTTTATTCGCTACATAATGAATAAATTTGTGACCTACAGATGGATTCGATTACTTCGCTGCCACCGCCACCATCGCCGTCGAGAGTCGTCGAGGAAGTCGAATCCGACAGCGAACCGCTTCCGCCGCCACCTCCCGAGATGTTCCGATCGAATCTTTCGTTGGACTCTCTGCCACCGCCGCCGGCACCCGGCGAACTTCCGGTTTGCAACACGCCGGAGCTCACGGGCTCCTCGTTGAGTCTGGCGTCTCTGCCACCACCGCCCAGCCCGCTCGTCGGTGAAACCGGAACGATACGTCGCGCTAGACCCAAGCAGTCCACCCCTACGAACTCTGTGACTCCCGAGAGCACGCCCACGCATAATCCCAATCCTAGGTCACAAGCCAATCAAATATATACAAATAATATCGCGCTGAACAGTAACTCGGTCCAAAATTACAATTCGAACGCGTCCCCGAACGCTCATAACGTGAACAACACCGCCAATTCAGTACCCTCCCCGCACAGTTCCTATCCAGGATCGACGGCAAGCACGCCGACCTACGCCCCGAACTCGCCTAATTTCACATCGCCACCACCCTTCGTGCCGCCACCGGCTTATGGCACTCAGCCGCCAATTACCAATTCCCAGAGTCTCGGCCGGCAAAATTCTAAGGTCGAATCGATATATCAGTCCGGTCATCATAACACGATCCAGCCGATCAGGCCGAATCCCAACATGGACACCGTCCGACGTAGCGCTATGAAGCAAGGAACTGGCCATTACGCAGCGCCGCCTTATCTGGCCGAGTTAAAGGCCGCCTCCAGTCCGCAGCCGCAACGACGAGTGACCATCCAGGAACCGCCGACGTCGCCCAAGTCAAAAACCGGAACTGGCAAGAAGATCTCATTCAATCTGCCGCCCCAGCAGGAACCCGGCAGTCCCGCGTTG